GTGTTTTCTCCTGTTGTACAAGGATTATTAGGAGCTACTGACTTAGTGCATCTTACCACAGTAACAGCACCCCATGAACCTGGAATGTTTTTTGATTGTGTTTTTCTTTTTTTGATGCTTTGTCATTTTCAGAGTATGAATTTCTTCCTATTACACTACATTTCTTTGTAAGAATTATATATTCCTTTTGATGTGTTAACTCAGTTTTTTTGACAAGATTTATTCAAGTAATAATGGCTCTCAGTGCACAAGTAGTGCTTGTCTATTACACTAAAGGTTAGAATTCCCAGACCCGTGTATCTTCTGGCGGTTGCATGCCTCATTGTGTGTGCATTCTGTGTGTGTGTTTATACATTCTTTTATGTCAATTTCCATGCATAAGCAGAGAGCAGTTCTGTTCTTAGTTTTATTAGCACTCTTGTTTCATCTGTACCTTTCCCTGCATCACAATTCAATATTCAGTTAATTTGAAGCTAACCTAAAATAACATTTAAAAACTGTTTTAAACCCTGTGTATCTTTTAAATATGATCATAATAATGCCATATTTATAAAAACAAAGGAATAAGATTTTTTAAAAAAATCAACACATTTTTTAATACTCACTAGTAATTTTAAATCAAAACAAAACTCTGATGCACTGAAGGCATTGGCAAAACATTAGGCTCCAGGAACTGATGAAATACCGATTAACATGTTTCAAGAAACAGATGTAGCCTTGGACGTATTTATTTGTCTTTGCCAAGAAATTTGGCCAGCTGACTGAAAGAGATCCATATTCTCATTCCAAAAATGGGTGATCCAGTAGAAGTTAAAAATTTTTGAACCATGTCTTTAGTTGTTGTTTTGTAACATCTAGATGAAATATTGTTCTCCAAAGTGCTGAAGAGTAGTGGTGTCTCTCTGGAGACTAAGGTGCGTCTGATACAGGCCATAGTCTTCGCAATCACCTGTTATGCATCGGAGAGTTGGACAATGACCAAGGAGGATAGAAGGAGAACTGATGCCTTTGAGCTGTGGTGCTGGAGAAGAGTACTGAGAATATCATGGACTGCTAGGAAAACAAATGGATTTGTCCTGGAGAGGGTTAAACTGGGTGGCTCCTTGGAGGCAAGGATTCTGAGGCTCCGTCTAACTTACTTCGGACATGTAGTGAGGAGAGACCGGTCCTTGGAGAGGGACATCATGCTTGGGAGGGTGGAGGGACGGCGCAGGAGCGGAAGGCCCTCTATGAGGTGGATTGATTCAGTGACTGGGATAATTGGGATGGGAGTGTCAGAGACAGTGCGATTGGCACAGGACAGAGCGGAGTTTAGGGCTCTTGTACATAGGGTCGCTATGAGTCGCAGGCGACTCGACGGCACATAACAACAACAACAGATGAAATAAACTCATAGCTAAACTCCAGCGGGTTTTCAGAGGTAGTTAATCACATAGAAGGAGATTGCCAGTCTTTTTCCCAGTAAGCAACTGGTGGATTAGAACTGCATGTTTTTGGGATTTCACTGCAGCTTCTTACCACTAGGTCACCAGAGATTCCTATTGGATCTGTTATTACGTGCTGTTGAGTCACCTGAGACACATAGTAACCCTATGCACAATAGCTCTGAACACTGTCGTATCCTGAGCCAGTGTCACTATGACACATCTAACCAACCCCAGTCACTGTCAGTCCATCTTATCCAGGTATCATTAATATTACATGTAAGTAAAATGTTTTCAGGAGAGAGCAGCCTGTGGCAAAGATATCATGCTGGGAAAGATCAAAGAAAAAGAGGAAGACCCTCAAAAAGATGGGTTGGCTATAATAGTGGGTATAAGCACAGCAGGGATTATGAAGATGAGGAGGATAGTGTGCAGTGTAGGGCAAAATTTGGATCCATTATTCTTTTTAAAATTTATGTTTTTATTTTGGTACAATTTATAGAAAAGGTAAAATCAGCAAGACATGCAGGTGGCCTGGTGACCATGGAGTCACCCCTCTGGCTGTGGGCAAGCCAGGCTAAAGCTTTGCTCAGCTCTCGCCATCACTCTCTCCCCGGGTGTGCTTATCAAAGAGGTACTCTGCAAGGCCCGAGTCTGGGGCACCCATCTTGCACAAATTGGTTACATAGTCACCCAGTTGTTTGATGGATTTCACCTGCTCATCCAGGTAATGTGTCTCTATGAAGTCACACAAATGAGGGTGTTCTTGCCAGTGGCCAGTTTGTGCAGTTCCAGGAGGGACTGATTCACTTTTCTCCAAGTGTAGCACACAATCCATTGTGTTCAGCCTCGCTGCCTCGCTGGTTCTGCAGTTTCATCAGTTTCTTGGCATGTTCCCTCTCCTCATGGGATTGCTGGAGAAAATATTTGGCAAAATTCTTCAAAGCCACATCATCACGGTTGAAGTAGTAAGACATGGGCATGTAGACATAGGAGGTGTAGAGCTCCAGGTTGATCTGGTGGTTGATGACGAACTTCGAGTCCTGGTTGTAGTTCTGGAGCACCTGTGAAGGGGACGTGGTCATGGTGGCGGCGGACGAGAGGTGGCAGTGTGTGACAATGGAGTAGAGGCGAGGACCTTCGAACATCCAGGGGTGCTGATGTGAGGAGGTGGCAGAAGACTGGCTGGAAATGACTGACTGGGGAGATAGTGGTGAATGCTGGGTTCCTTTCAAGCACTATTGAAGCAGGAGACCACACTGACTCTGTGAAGACCATCTCCATATCCATTATTATTAGGCTCACTTAACAAGAGAAATAATGGTCAGTTTCAAGACTGAAAAAATATTGATGCCTTTGAACTCTGGTGTTGGTGAAGGGTATTAAATATAACATGGATTGCCAAAGGAACAGATTTTTCTTGGGTTATGTACAGCCATAGTACTCCCTTGATAAATTATCAAGGATGAGACTTAGTCTCATAGAATTCGAATGTGTCAGGATGGTCTAGGCCTCCTGAAAGAGTACATTGTGCTTGAAATGATAGAGGACTAGAGGAGAGAAAGACCCTCAATGAGATGGGTCGTTATAATGACTGCATCAGTGGGCTTAAGCACAGCAGATTGTGAAGGTGATACAGGCTCAGGCAGAATTGCAGTCTCTTGTATATAGAATTGCTATGACTCACTAGTTGAGTCAGCAGCACCTAACGACAGCATCATTTAAGAAAACAAATCAACTTTTTAAAGTTATTTTTGAATCTAATCCATTAATTATTTCTGCTTAAATTTACCCAGTGAAAAATCTCTTCACGTAGCTTCCAGGTAGTTCTCATACTTTATAGTGTGACTGGAGCTCTTGGATCAACTCTTTTTCCATCCTGTACTGAAAATCCTGGTTTAGAACTACTTCAACATAATGTGATTTATATCATCATCCCCTGTATTTTTTTTCTTTCTCATTGCTGTCAAATAGGGTCAGACTCATTGCTGACCTCCAGTGGAATTCCAAGGCTATCCACCTAACAGGCAATGCCCAGTTAACCATCTCCATTTATTCTATTAACACTGTAAATCAAAATATAATAAAAATATTTAATATTTGTGTTAATTTTATGTCTAATGCCATAACAGGGACCCATGGTGGATAGTGTTTGGTGGAGCTCCCAGTTTAAGACAGGTTTGGAAGCAGGAGTGACATCCACTTCCTAAACAACATGCCTCTGGAAACGATGAACTTTGAGAAACGATGATAGTTACAGAAAGGCTTATTTTGTTGGATTCAGTGGCACTCATCAACCACCACCACCACAAGGGATGTTAAGTCATGATGTTTAAAAGTCCCTTGAAGTAATTCCACAGTGATTAAAGTGCCAACTTGATAACAGTTCAGTTCATTGTTTAGTTTTTGCTTTTGATCTTTAGGGTTGTGTTCTTTTCCCTAATTTAATTTGATTTCTTCATTATGTATAATATAGTCAACATCAAGAAAACAGATTCTCACTACTGGGCCGATTGGCAGCATCATGATAGATGGTGAAGAGATTGAGATTGTTAACAGCTTTAGTTTGCTTGGCTCCACAGTCCACACTCTTGGTACCAGCAGCCAGGAAATCAAAGATGAATTGCATTGGGAAAACCTGCTGTCAGGACATTTTCAGAGTAATGAAGATCAGCGTTGTCAGTCTGGAGACTAAAATGCACCTGATTCAGGGCATGGTCTTTGTAGTTACTTGCTTTGGTGGACAATGACTAGGGATGACAAAAGGAGAATTGATGCCTTTGTACTGTGGTATTGGAGAAAAGTATTGAATATACCGTGGACTCCTAAGAGAACAAGCAGGTTTGTTTTGGAGAGGGTGAGACCAGGCTGCTCCTTGGAGGAAAAGATGCTGAGGCTCCATCTTACGTCCTTCGGGCATGTTGCAAGGAGGGACCAGTCCTTGGAAAGGGACATGATGCTTGGGAGGGAGGATGAAAAGTGCAGGAGGGAAGGACCCACATTGAAATGGATTGATTTAGTTACTGGGGTAATGGGGAAAAGGTGTGTTGGAGACGATAAGGTTGGCACAGGATAGAGCAGGGTTTAGAGCTATTGTACGTAGCATTGCTATGAATCTCAAGTGACTCAATGGCACAGAACAACAGTTTTAGTTTATACATATTTGATTGTTTTGGGTAAGAATTAACTTGGCAGCTAATCACAATGATAGTAATAAAGTCTGCAACATAAGAACATTCAAAGAATGTTACGTCACCTTTTCAGTTTTCATTTTGTGTTAAAAACAAACCCATATGCTGTGTCTCTTTACCTGGTTTGACTCAATGCAGTAGCTCTTTTCCTGCAGAACTCTCCAATGTGGCTGGTAGTGACCTTTCTTGAGTGGTGTGGGATATCCTCTAGGAAGCCCCTTTTGTTGCCATCTTTGAGGCAGTTGTCCTGCAGTCACATTATTTTACATGCTTGAGAATATAGTTTTGGGATCAATTTTTAATATTGGTTTGAGCCAGTTAGTAAGTACATGTGGTTTTTCTAGATAGATAGTCTTGTTAATGCTTATATTTGCCTATTTTCTAGGTTGTTACAGGATCTGGCCGCCAGGAAGCACAGAAGACAGATGCTGAGTACCGCAAACTCTTTGACTTGGCTCTGCAGGGTCTGCAACTCCTGTCTCAGTGGAGTGCACACGTGATGGAAGTGGTATGGACTCTGTAGCTACTTTAATTTGGAAACTCAAAACAGCAAAACACCTTCTACCCCATGATAGGATCACTCACTCACTTACTCATATCAAGTCAGAGCCAACTCATAACTGAACATCTCTTGAATTTTTGGAGGTTGTAAATTGCAGGGAGGATAGAGCCCATTTTTAACCCTGTGAGCCGATGGTGGTTTAGAGCGGTGTGACTTCTGTGTTAACAGTGCAGTGAGAGCTCTTAGTGATTGGGTAGAAGTATTTTTTTCACCCTGAACTTTCCAAGAGATATTTTTCTAGTCATTGACTTTGGTGTTTGAGTTTAGAACAAATTGACGTTGTATCTTTGGGCATATAGAGAACAATATGTTTGTGTAAAATGTCTCTAAGATTGTTCAAAGTGCATTTATGTGTGTTCTAAAGGTCTGATATTTTAACACGTATTTATAGATTAAAGGTTTACCATTATAATGATTTTTATTATCATATTTTTAACATTAAAATTCTTTCTGCTATCATAGAAGACTCAAATGCGTATAAACCATAAAAATGTTCTCTTATAGTTTATTTTGGTCAAAGAAAAATTATTAAATTGGATGGATAACTAATCATTTGAAAGGCAGATTTTCTTTACAAATGTAACTGATAAGGCTAGAGTCAACCCAAAAGATCTAAGTATTTTACCTGATGACTTAACTCTGAAGTTACCTTTTGAAAGCTTTGGCAGTGATCATGCAAATAAGACTAAAGTGAAACTTTTTGTATTTGATATGTAATTTTTCTTTTCTTTCTCACTACATCAGTATTCATGGAAACTAGTGCACCCAACAGATAAGTACTCCAACAAAGACTGCCCTGACAATGCTGAGGAGTATGAGCGAGCTACACGCTACAACTACACTAGTGAGGAGAAATTTGCCCTGGTAGAGGTAAGGAAATTTGTCTAAGTTCTTCTCCTAGATCGACTCTGGTTACTTAAAGCACCAAAGTCTTTTGTTACTTAAAGCACCAAAGTCTTCTTTTAATAATGTTCAGTTTAGTATTTTTTTTTTTTTATTGGGTTCCCATAATTAAGAAACTGTTCCCTAATGCAGGATAAAGAAGGTTTGCCCCAGAATTTCGTTTTTGGAATTTTATCGATCTGTGATTTATATTGGGATGATTCTCGTAAGTCAGATGTAGTGGGATTGGCTCAGGGGTCCCTAAGGCTAACCTTACTGCTTCACTGGAAGGATTCACAGACACAGTAGCTACTAACTCATACTACAATTTATTGTAGCATAAGGGTGTAGATTAAAATATCGGAGGGAAAGAGGCTTATTGACCTTTTAGGTGTTCTGTTTTAGTTGAGTCATCGAGACACACTTAATTTTGTCAGCAACATTTTATAATTGCATGTGTAAAGTTTGACTGACCTCAGCTAGTTAAAGTGCAGACCCTCAGAGAAAACAAGGGTCACCATAAATTACTCAGAGATCAATTCCCAGGAGGTAGCCAAGAACCAGGTGGCACAAAAGACTTCTGAAAAGTGTAGCAACCTAGGCCACTTGAACTTCCTTTTCCTGCACAGGGACCAGCTTCATTCTTTTCCCTTTGGATGAGTATGACTCATAGTGATTTTAATGAACAACAGATATAAATCCTACCTTATAAGCTATGCCATCCTCATCAACTCTGATACACTTGAGCTCACTGCTGCAGTCACTGTGTCAGTTCATCTTGTTGTGGGCCTTCCTCTCTTTGACTGATCCTCCACCTTTTCAAGCATGATGTCCTTTTCACAGGAATAGTGTCTGCTAGGATCATGTCTAACATAGAAAAAAAAAAGAAGTTTCATCTTTGCCTCCACAGACCATTCTGGCTGCACTTTCTCCATGTTATACCTGTTCTTTTGTCAGTCCATGGGATATTCAGTACTCTTCTCCAACAGCACGATTCAAAGGCATTAATTCTTCTGTCATCCTTATTTGTTGTCTGTCTCTCAGATTTGTAGCAAGTGATTAAAAAGACCATAGCCTGAATTAGGGACACCTTGGTCTTCAAACTGGCATCATTACTCTTCAGTAATTTGAGAAAGTCTCAGACAGCAGCCTTGCTCAATGCAGTACATCTCCTAACCCCTCAGGGCAGGTACTAGTTGTGTTGATTGTGGATCAAAGTATGATGAAGTAAATGTAACAAAAAAATTTTGTTTTAAAGAATAAGGAGAGAAGTTGAGAACAGTCATTTCATAAGCCTTCTGTAAATAGCCAGTAAATCTCAGAGGTCACTCAACACTTCTTATTGGCCAAATGTGGTACTATATTTTGCTGTATCTCTCCCAGTGGAATAATGTAGAGTAGTGCCATCCAAACATTTCCACACACATATCTGGTCATTGTCTTGAGCTTCACTTACTATACTTCCACACCCACTAAAACTGTGATCTTCAGTAAATAAGAATCTTGACCAGTTGGGATCGCCCTGGTTTAGTCCAGGCCCTGGCTTCATAAAACCTCATGTTCATTGGCTTGAAGAGGGGCCTGAGTTTGCATCCACTTAGGCTCCCTTCTCAAGTCTCTGAGGCCCCTAGCATCTTTGGGAGGCTTTCCAGTGGCTGTCAGTCTTCTTGCTCTGCTGTGTCTCCTGGATGCTATAACACTATGGCTTTAGGGCACAAAGATATATGAGGGTTCACCCTGTCTCAAGTCCAAGACCAGACCAGTAAGCAGCTGCCACAAGGATTCTGGATCTCCTCATTATAGGGACTTGGACTGAGACCCTCAGTGTATCCTCAGGTACAAAACTGGAGGGCCTAAAGGCCCTCAGAAGGCCAGGGATTTCACTTCTTACCATATTGTTGTTGTTGTTATGTGCCGTTGAGTCGCTTGCAACTCATAGCGACCCTATGTACAACAGCCCTAAACCCTGCTCTATCCTGTGCCAATCTCACTACCTCTCACACACCCATCCTCAAACCCCAATCACTGAATGAATCCACCTCATAGAGGGTCTTCCCCTTCTGCACCATCCCTCCACCCTACCAAACATGATGTCCCTCTCCAAGGACCTTTCCCTCCTTACAACATGTCCAAAATATGTCAGACGAAGCCTCAGAATCCTTGCCTCCAAGGAGCAGTCTGTTTTAACCCTCTCCAGGGTGAATCTGTTTGTTTTCTTGGCAGTCCAGGGTACATTCAATACTCTTCTCTAGCACCACAGATCAAAGACATCAATTCTTCTTCTGTCCTCCTTAGTCATTGTCCAACTCTCTGATGCATAACAAGTGATTGCAAAGACCATAGCCTGTATCAGACACACCTTAGTCTCCAAAGTGACACCATTGCTCTTCAGTACCCTGGAGAGGTCCCTAACAGCAGACTTTCCCACTAGTGCCAAGAGTGTTGACTGAGGAGCCAAGCAGACTGTAGTTGTTAACAATTTCAATCTCTTCACCATCCATCCTGATGCTGCCAGTTGGTCCAGAGGTGAGAATCTTTGTCTTCTTGTTATTGAGCTTCAATCCATACTGAAGGCTGCAATCCTTGACCCTCTGCAGCAAGCATTTCAGGTCCTCCTCAGTTTCAGCAAGCAGGGTTGTGTCATCTGCATAACACAGATTGTTAATAGATCTTCCACCAATCCTGACGCCTCACTTCTCATAGAGCCCAGCCTCTCGGATAATCTATTCTGCATACAGGTTGAAAAGGTATGGAGATATGACATATCCCTGGCATATGCCTTTCCCAATTTTGAACCATGCAGTGTTTCTTTGCACTGTTCTGACGACTGCCTCTTGGTCCAAGTACAGGTTTCTCATTAGAACGATCAAGTGTTCTGGGATTCTCATTCTTAGAGTGAGCCACATTTTGTTATGATCCACACAGTCAAACGCCTTTGCATAGTCAATGAAACACAGATAGACATTTTTCTGGTATTCCCTGCTTTCAGCCAAGATCCATCTAACATCAGCTTCAATATCCCTAGTATTACGACCCCTTCAAAACCCAGGCTGGACTTCTGGCAGTTCTCTGCTGATGTGCTGTTCCAGTTGTTTTTGAATAATCTTCAGTAGAATCTTGCCTGTGAAATCAATGGTACCGTTCTATAGTTAGAGAACCTTTATTTCCTTGATTTTTTAGGTACTTGATTTTGCTATTCTTAGGAAATTTTAGATGAATATTGTTATGTGCTGTCTCATCAGCAGCTCATAGTGACCCTATGCTCTGAACCCTGCTTTATTGTGAGCTAACCTCCCTGTTTCTGACACACCTATCTCCATTACCCCAGTCACTGAGTCCTTCCATGTCATCCAAGGTCTTCCTTTCTTGCACTATCCCTCTACCCTGGCAAGCATGATGCCTTCTCCAAGGATTGGTCCCTCCTGGCAACATGCCCAATGTATGTATGATGGAACATCAAAATCCTTGCCTCCAAGGAGCAGTATCATTTCACCCTCTCCAGGACAGAACTGTTTTCTGTCTTTGACAGTCCATATATGTTCAAGACTCTTCTCTAGCACTACAACTCAAAAGTCTGTTTTTCTTCTGTCACGCTTAATCATTGTCCAGCTTTCTGATGCATAGCAAGTAATTGCAAAGACCATGGTCTGGATCAGGCACACCTCAGACTCTAGACTCACTTTGTTAGTTTTCAGCACTTTGGAGAAGACCCCAACAACAGTTCCCTAATACAATTTGTCTTGTGATTTCCTGACTGGTGTCAAAGAGTGTTGATTATGGAGCTGAGTAAGCTGTTAACAACCTCAGTCTATTCTCCCTCTGTCATGGTGTTGCCAGTTGTCCCAGTTGTGAGAATCTTTGATTTTTTTGATTTTGAGCTTCAATCCATATTGAAGTATATTCCGCCTTTTCTTTTTTATAATACTCATGTTTATTTTTTAAAAAGAGATAAATTTAAGCATGTCTTTTCCTCCATCCTCTAAGGTTGAGTGTGTAATATTTTAATTTTTGCTTCAGATCAGTTTTTAACAGAAATTTCCTTTTTCTTTTTTGCTCTTTTGCAAAGCAGCACTGGACCATCAAGTGTTAAAAAACCATATAACCCAAAGTAGGCAAATAAGTAGAATCTGATAGAATGTTTCCATTGGATTTCTGAGGTTGTTAATTGCTCAGAAAGAGACAACCCATCTTTCCCCTGCTGAGTCTTTAGTGAACTCCGGTTGCTAGAGAGGTGCTGCATTTGGATTAACAGTGCAACTCCCTAGCAACTACAAGAGTAAACAAATAGGAAACATAATTGTGAATATAAGAAATTATAGTGACTGTGACTACAGAACAGAAATAGCATTTAAGTTGTTTCATGCATTTTCTTGCAGGTGATTGCCATGATTAAAGGTTTGCAGGTCTTGATGGGTCGAATGGAAAGTGTGTTCAACCATGCCATCCGGCACACGGTCTATGCTGCCCTGCAGGATTTCTCGCAGGTGACGCTCAGGGAGCCACTTAGGCAGGCCATCAAGAAGAAGAAGAATGTCATCCAAAGGTTAGCTTCATGACAGCCCTAGGATGCAAACCAAGGACCCAGAAGTGACAGGATGTATCCATGTTCATTCTGGGAGCTACATATGCATAATGTACTCTTGATAATGTCTTTGATTTCGAAACACCTTGTTACACTAATTGCATCTGTGTTTGGTGCAGGGAGTCAATTATTAATCTGAAAAACTGAACTACCGTGTCTTCAAAAGTCTGCACAATCAGAGAAAATTGAGTTACCAGATTTTGTGGGACTTTCCATACCCAGCATTCTACTTCTCGGCTCAAACAGGCAGTTTTTAATAGTTCTGCATTTGTTTCTTTGGGCCAAAAGATGCATACATATTACAGAAATTCAATAGTGATCTTGAGTTTATTTTATCTTCTTGAGTTTTTGAAGGAAATTATCTTTCAAAGATAGGTGTTAAACATTAGTTCAGTATACTCAGTTTTCTTCCTTTGTAGTTTGTGTTTGTGTCTGTGGTACAGTATGATTTTAGCATAACTAGAACTTTTCTATTGCTATGCTTACCAGTTTTTATGTCCTCTCCTGGGGACAAGTGACAAAATTTCTCTAGGCTTATTTGTATACATTTTGATTAAGACATATCTTCTGGTTGTTGTTGTTATGTGCTGTCGAGTCGCTTGCGACTCATAGCGATCCTGTGTACAACAGCCCTAAATTCCACTCTGTCCTGTGCCAATCGCACTGTCTCTGACACTCCCATCCCAATTATCCCAGTCACTGAATCAATCCACCTCATAGAGGGCCTTCCTCTCCTGTGCTGTCCCTCCACCCTCCCAAGCATGATGTCCCTCTCTAAGGACCGGTCTCTACTGGTATCTTCTGGTAGTACTAGTATTTCCTTGAAAACAGTATTTAAAAATTTTTGCATTGAACTTTTCATTTATTCCATCTCTGCCTGTGTAGTTCCAGTGGTCTCTAGTAGTAATGAACTGCACTGTCAACCCAGAGGCACATGGTTTGATTCCACAGCTACTCTGGGAGAAAGATGAACAGTCTCCTTTTGTGTGATTTACTGGCTCTGAAAACCCACTGGAGGATCAGCTGTGAGGTTGTTTGCACTTAACAGCATGTAACAACAACCATAGCATCCCTTCTCTGCTCTCCCAAAAAATTTTTTAACAGAAAATATTTATTCAGTCAGCAAAATTTCACGTTGTCTAATGCCAACATATGTGAAGGTAAACATCAAGATGGCTGATTTAATTTTGATTATGTGATCACATACCTTAATCACATTCATTCATCTATCTTTTTTCTTCAGTCATCTATCTTAATTAAAAATACAAACATGAAAATACATGTACATATCTGGAATAGAAAAGAGTTTGTTTTTTATTTTTTAGATTAAATGTTCTCATTAAACTTCTTCCATTTATTATTATTATATCTACATACCATCTTGCTTATGAGATTCTTAGTAATTTTCTGATCCTTCCTGGGAGAAAAACCAAACAGCTGCATCTTAGTTTTAGATTATAAATTAACTCTGTCTGTGAATCCAGATAGAGAGCGCTGATGGTCTAATGGGTAGAGTTGCTCTCCAAAAGGCAAAAGGTTCAAATGCATCAGCTGCTCTTCCTATGCTACTTCTTGTTGTTGTTGTTATGTGGCGTTGAGTCGCTTGCAACTCATAGCGACCCTATGTACAACAGCCCTAAACTCCGCTCTGTCCTGTGCCAATCGCACTGTTTCTGACACTCCATCCCGATTACCCCAGTCACTGAATCAGTGCACCTCATAAAGGGCCTTCCCTTCCTGCGCTGTCCCTCCACCCTCCCTAGCATGATGTCCTTCCCCAAGGACCATTCTCTCCTTATAACATGTCCAAAGTATGTTAGACGGAGCCTCAGAATCCTTGCCTCCAAGAAGCCACCTGGTTTAACCCTTCCCAGAACAAATCTGTTTTCCTAGCAGTCCATGGTACTCTAAATACTCTTCTACAGCACCATAGCTCAAAGGCATCAATTCTCCTTCTATCATCCTTGGTCATTGCCCAACTCTCTGATGCATGACAAGTGATTGCAAAGACCATGGCCTGTATCAGGCGCACCTTAGTCTCCAGAGAGACACCATTGTTCTTTAGTACCCTGGAGAGTTCCCTTACTACAGACTTTCCCATGGCAATACACCTTTTAATTTCCTGGCTACTGGTGCCAAGAGTGTTGACTGTGGAGCCAAGCAAACTAAAACTTGCCTCAATCTCTTCACCATCCATCCTGATGCTACCAATTGGCCCAGTGGTGAGAATCTTTGTCTTCTTGACATTGAGCCTCAATCCATATTGGA